TGTCTACATTTTGGAGTTGACAGTTCTTTTATTTCAGTACTTGAAAACCGGTGTCACTTTCAGTCCCCTCCCCCCGCTTCTGCAGCAGCCTCAGGGCAGCGGGTGTGCTTTCTGCTGTCAGGCTTGGCTGGGAAGGGCAGGTGCCGCCTCAGGTGCCCTTCCTGCTGGGCTGCCATCCTGGTCCTTGGCTGGAGGGACCCGGCCGTCCTTGGGCTGTGCCTGTGGTTTTTTGTGGCTGCCGCCTCTAGTGCGCGGTGTGGCTCGCACGAGGCGGGAGGTGCGGCCCCTCCGGGTCAGCCTCCTTCTCTCTTGCTCCACCTGCCCCCTGCTGCGTCCAAGGCGGGGGGTGGGGGGCTGTGCCGCGTGGGGTTTGGGGAGGTGTCCCCTCAACCTGGTCCGCAACTGGAAGGGAGGATGATTGACTTTTGTTTTTTTATTTTAAAGTCTTATTCCTTCCCAGTTTTTGATGCAGTTCACACACCACACAGTCTTTCCTGAAAAGTGTAAGTTGCAGGGTCATAGTGCACTCACAGGTAAGTGCGGCCATTACCAGTCAACATTGAGGACACTTCCGTCCCTGGACGCCTGCCCCTCTAGCCGCCCCTGCGGGTTTCTCTTCTTGTGGTGAAACGTGCAGGACAGCACAAGCCATCATGAAGGGTGCTCGTGACCTACTTCAAACTTCACCACTGCAGTGGATCAAGTTTTATGTAAAAGTCATGATGATTAAAATATTTACAGTTTGAGAAATGTGTGCTTTGTGTTAGAATACAACCAAAACTAAACAGCGGAAGTTAGTGTTTGTTTTTGTCACACCTATTGGGGCATCGCTGTGATACGCACAGTGTGGTCTCGTGTTTCCAGAAACCCAAGCTTGCATTGCGAGGCCTTCCCCTCCTCGTTGGCGGTTGAAAGCGAGTTAGTTGTCGGAGAAGCAGCGCTGGTGCCGGCTGCGCTTGCTCCGCCCCACGGACCAGCTTCAGAAGCTGCTCTCCTCGGCCGCGGGAGGCCTGGTCTGGTGCGCACTGTGCCCGGGCCTCGTAGTGATGTGCTTCAGAGGTCCTCGGGTTTTCCCCGACGTGCAGTGATCTTTGTGTCCTTACTGTCATACCAGTTAGGAATGCCATGTATGTAAGGCGTCATGTCGGTGAATTGTTACAGTGTGTAAAGATTTTCACCATTGTGTGAAATTTTATGAAGATTTCCAGCAGAAGACTTCAGCGTGACTTGAGAATGCTTTAGTAAATGTTAAACATTCAGTATCACGCTGTTTTCTCTACTGTGAAGGATGAGGGTGTTTGTATGCTCCTGTGCGAATGTAGTCAGGTCAGCGAGAGGCCACGCACCTCACACAGGCTTCCACGGGCTGCTAGGGACGCAGCTACTTAGGGAGGTCGCCTTCGGTGAAGCTCCGCCAGCCTCTGGCCTGCTGGTGACGGCCTGGGGAGGAGGAGGGTGCCTGTTCGCTTGTTTTTTCTGTTCCTGTTCTTCCGTTGGTACCGTGTCCCTCAAACATTTTCCTCGGGTGGAGAGAGGGTAGGGGGGCAGGGGGCACCGGCGTGGTTTGTTTCACAGTGCCTGTGAGCCTCCCTGCCCTGCGACCCCAGCCCCGCCCCGAGGTCTCCACAGTGTCGCAGTGGCTAGACACCAGCGTTTGGAGAGACACATGCTGAGGACAGACGGCCGATGTCAGATTGTGTCGACAGCATTTCTTGGTGGAGGCAGCACAAATTTTTTAAATGCTAGTTTCTCATTCTGAGTGTCTGTGCACAGTTTCCTCTGGATCTTGAAAATTTTTATGACTAGGACGAGGATCTAAAATATTTTACTGGTTGTAAAGAGGAAGCTTCCCCTGTTGGGATGGTCCCTCGGGCAACGTTGACCCGAGCACCCTGGCCCAGGGCTCAGGGTGCCGGGAAGTCGGAGACATGTTCCTCAAGGCCCAACAGTTCCCTTAAAGTGGGTCTGTGGCTCACTCAGGTGGGCAAACACGTCCAGGCTGCCCGAGTGGACGTATGTCACTTCGTTTGCTGTGTCTTCTGACTGTGGGGCTGCATGGATGGGGGCTGCCGACCCGGGATCTCCAGACCAGTGTTGACGGGACACTAGATATTGTCCCGTTGTCTCGGTATACGAGGCACGTGAGTGCAATGTCTTATGCCCAGAGGTGGGCGCTGAAGTTTCTTCCTGAGTGTTTCCAAAGAGGGCCCTGTGCCTGCAAGTCCCGCGGCCCCTCTCAGCTGCAGGGGTGGTGGGCCCTCGTCCCCCGCACGGCTCTGTGGTGGAAAGCCAGGCCTGTGCGCCAGGCAGCCCCTGCCTTGCCTCCTCTGCGTCGCGGGCCTGCGTGGTCCACCACTGCCGTGGGATAGACAGGCGGATGGAGGCCCGGTTCCCTGGTGGCCGGTGTGGCTCTGCTGCTCAGTGAGGACGCTCGTGCCCCGGCTGCGCCTGGAGGCTGCATTCGAAGGAGCAGCGTGCATTTCTCGACAGCACCGTGGCTTTTGATTTCACTGACGCGCAGGCGAAGGGGGAGGGTTTCTTTTTCTTCGAGAAGGCTTGAGCATTGGCGTATTTTAGAGATATTCCTCCCTGAAGTATCGGTTGAATTCTCAGAAATGTTTCTTGTCAAAATGGAAGCAATAAAGCTGTTATACTAAAGATAAAATGTGAGTTGGAGCTGGTTATTGTGTTGACCTATTTTTCTGTAGGTACCTGTGAATAATGCATCTTCTAGTGTCTGAGCGTTGATGGCTCCTGATTTTTCCGCACCTCTGGCAGCAGCGGAGGTAGCTGTCTTCCCTTCTCATACGGCAGGCCCTTGGGTTTGGTATCATCCATTTTGTCGTCTTTGTTCGCATTGTTTTTACTCGTTTTAAAAATATGTTTCCAGAATTATACTTAATTGCTGCAAACGTTGATTTTTCTTGAGTGACAAACCAATCAAGTTTGTATGACACCAGGCAACAAAGACACTTAAGATTCTCTGCTTAGCCTGTCTCTGAAAAAAATCCATTATTCATCATCTTATTGTTTTCAAATACTGAGGTAAAATCTTCAATACAATAGGAAAATTGCTCTGGAAATGGGGTAAATTGCTCACCAGTTCAAAGGCTCCTTTCTGCAGTCGAGGCTGCTGAACGCTGTTGCTTCTGCTCATTGTCTCCCAGACGCATTGTTCTGCTCCCCGGTGTCCAGTCGCCCGGATGGTGACTCTCGCTGAAAGCAGCGCAGTGACTGGAGAAGACAGTGAGCCAGGCTGAAAGCCCCGCTTGGCGTGCAGCACTGCGCCGCAGCGACGCGGTGGTCTGCATTTTCACCACAGTCTATGTGCATACCCACCTCCTGGCCGACTGGTTTTAGAGAAGTCGTGTTAAGCGGAGACTAAGACAGAAGGGGTGTTAAGAGGAACCGCTGGTTCTTTAGGGCTGTGCACAGGTCATGGAGTTTTTGGCCCACTTATGTAAGCTGCTCAGCCCTGTGGGTGGGCTGTCCTGGGAGGGCGCTGGCGGTGACAGGGGCTGTCGGGGCAGACGGTGTGGGCGTACCCCCCCAACGGCTGCTTTGGCCCCGGCCCCGGGCAGCGAGGTGTCCCAGGCAGAAGCACCTGCTTTCCCCAGGTCTTTCGCCTCGCTGTTCGAGGGGCAGGTGGCGCTCAGCTCTGTGTCTAACGCAGTCTGAGCATTGGGAGTGAGGCTCCTGTGCCTCTCGGGTGCCCAACAGCGCAGCATGGTGACGTCATGTTGCGAGGTGAGTCTGGTGCCCATCTTAGCTTCTTGTGGGCTAGTCAGGACCTGTGGTCACAGTTTACCTGCACCACGGAGACAAAGAGGCTCTGCCTCGCCCTCACAGTCTTCCGTGGTCCCTTCTCCCCCGTCAGCAGGTGCCAGCTGGAAGACGAGGCCGCCCACCTGGATGAGATGCCGCTCATGGCGTCGGAGGAGGGCTTCGAGAACGGCGAGAGCGACTACCACACGCTGCCCCGAGCCAGGGCTGCACGGCGAAGACGCGGGCTGTGGGGGCTGCCTCGGCTGCTCTGTGGTGCGTGGGCGTCCCCGTGCACCAGGTGCGTGCCCCGCGGTGCCTCCCCTCCTGGCTCACTAGGCACACGCTTAGCTCGAGCACACCCATCCCGTACCTGCAGCAGGTGCCCTGCGAATGACCTCCTGGGCTCAGTCATGTCTGTGGCGGTGGGCAGTGCCGCTCTGAGGGGCAGCCAGAGCCACGTGTCCCCAATCAGCATCATTCTGTGCTAGCGACTCTGCCCTGACTTGGGATGCGTGTCTTCTGTTCATCTAACCAGAAGGAAGTGAAGAGAAGAACTCGTGTTTTAGACAAGGTCACTGGTGGTTGACATAGACTGATGTTGTGTGTGATGGGTATTAAATTGGTTCACCGTTGACCTTAGAGTCTGGAATGTGAGCGTGTACTGAACGGCAGGGGCCCTGTGCCCCTGACAGCCCTGCCCGTCACTGGGACAGGCAGGGTGGGCTTGGGTGCCCGGTGCCGAGGGGTGTGTGTCGCATAGGCCCCCACGGTCGCTGTCTGCCCACAGTTCCAGGTTCTCGGTCGGTGCCTTTACTGTGATCGTGAACTTGCATCCCTTTGCCCGCAAAAGGCACAGAAATGGTTGCAGAGGAGTGTCTTGTTCGTTGTCCTTCCATCACCTGTTAGAAGTTTGCAGACAGGTGTTGGGCACCTGTTTTGATTTCCGGGTCAGCTCTTGGAGCGGTGTTGACACTGCGTTCCGGAGACCCCTGGGGACAGAGGAACCCCTCGGGGATTGGCAGACGGAGCCAGGAGGAGAGGCCACGTGGGGCGTGGGCTCGCTGCCCCATCCGCCTCCAGGCACAGTGGTCCCTGCCCTTGGTTTTCTCACGTGTGTGTTGTAAGCTTTTCACACAAAGAAGGAATTTCATGGCTAAATAGTCTTCTAAAGGGTGCTGACATGTTAAACTAATTTTAGAACTTTCTGTGTCTTTTAGAAAACCTTTCTGTAGGTTAAGCAGCCAGTGTGCCAGGAGTGTCCTTGGGGGTGCACATTCAAGCTCGTCCCTCTCTGGTCCTGGCGGGCACGTGCCGCAGGGACGTGGGCAGCTCCTGCGACTGGTGTGACTCCGACAGGGCAAAGCGGCCGCCGCGCACACTGCACACGAGTCACCGGAACTGCAGACTCTCGGTGTTTCCGGTCTCGTCACAGCGTGGGGACATCGTTAGGGTGACCACTCCTGGCCTTTCACAGGGTTCTGTTTGCACCGATGGAACGGCACCGTATTTGGGGTTTTGTCTGTAATGTGTTTCTTTTCTCGAGGAGAATATTAAGAACATATTTGACGATGCAGGTGTCAGCAGCAGCGACACCCATGTCGGGGACACTGAAACATGCGGTGAAACACGTGAGACCGGTGTGCAGATTTTCACGGAGCAGTGACTGCGCCATCCGGGCAGCGCCAGTCCGTCTGAGGGGCCCCGGGGCCGGGCGTGGTTGCCGGTGTCTGCGGCACCGCGAAGGCGCTGCTGGATGGGAACCGCCTCCCAGAACAGACTGTGCGGCCGCGCGAACCTCCAGTCCTGAGCGTCTTCTGCTTCCCGGTGCCCTGAGCACCAGGCCTGGCAGGGGTGGGCGGAAGAACGGAAGACGGGTGAAACCACGAGGCGGCCAGCGTGTCGTGGGGCCCCGTCTGCAGGGCCCGCGAGGAGTCTGCATGCTGCAGAATCGCAGGCTCCTCGGAGCGATGAGGAGGCTCTGGTTTCTTCATGGTTTGAGAACTGCTTTCTCATTTCTACGATCCAGCACAAAATTTCAGCTCTGCATGTTGAAACTCTCTTTCTGTCGTCTGTCTGGTGAAACTGTGACTGTCCGTCCCATACGGGGCTCCGAAGCACGTGGGTACGTGTGGTTCTGGGGCAGGTGAGGCTTTCTCACGAGATTCGCATTCCACTCTTGCCAGAAACTGCTTTGTCCCCAGGAGACAAGGCCTGACTGCGTTTCCCCACGTCCAGGGCTGGGGATCGCCTGCTGGGCACATTCCGGGTTCTAAACGGCCCCAGCACGGGCGGTAGACCTGCCCATGTGTGGGTGCAGAGGCCGGGGCACAGGAAAGTGTGGTTTTCCCACGAGGCCTGAGTGCTGTGCTGCCTTTGGCTTAAACCAAAGGGGCCTGGTGGGTATAAGAATGGTCTAATTTTTTGGAAGTTGGTGCCAGTCTGGGGAGTCACAGAGCTGTGGCTAGTTGAAGATGTAGGAGACAGAATCTGGGTGTGCACGTGAAGATGCTCTTCTTAACATCAGAGCACCACTTGGGTGCTGGAAGCGTTTCTGAAAGGCTCCTAACCCTAAAACCTTTCAAGAAACAAGTGTAACTTGTGCACTGTTGGATTCGGGCTCAGTTTCGTAAGGGGATTTACATATAAATGGGAGGGTATCTTCTAAAGCGCTGACAGTTTGGGAACGTTGTAGCCACATAGAAGAGCCGTTACATAAACGTCCTGGTTACCTGCTTCCAAAGGCTTCCCCTCCTTTCCCCTCGTTTGTCAGCTCTCAGCCACGTATTGGTCTTGTGTCACTCTGCCCGGGTTCCGTTCCCCCTCGCTCTGCCACCCAGGACAGGTTCTGTGTTGGTGGGTGGTGGCTGTGAGGATTCCACCTGGGGCTCCGTGCCCTTTACTCTCAGCGCTGAAGTCTCCGTCCTCCCCCAGTCGTACTGGGCAGCTCACAGGCCCACGGCCGTTCCTGGGGAGGTCAGGCCTTTGCAACAGCAGCGTGTGGATTCGCATGATTCTTGGAAGCCGTCTGTGGTTTGGCTGTGGCTGACCACTACTTGATTCTGTCTTTACATAAGGCAGTAACCAGAAATACCTCTTTGCTGTGTCCACAGTTATTAGTAGCCTAGCGTCACAAATAATTGAGTTGTATCTTAGAAGTCTAGGCATCTCGGTCTCTGACAGAGTCACAGGAAAATGTTAACTGCCTGTGGGATTTGCGCCTTAGGCCTCGGCTGCCACTGAGTGTCTGAGGGCGGGGCCCGCGCTGTGGTGCCCACGTGGCGCAGACCTGGCCTCACCCAGACACAGCCCCCGGCCTGAGAGAGTGGAGAGTGTGCTGGGGACAGCACAGACTCTGTCGCGCCCACATCCCTCAGTTCGAGGACACACTGCGGGGTCATGCCCTCAGTGTCCCTCTGATACTAATGCTACTAGAATTGCCTTCCTCCAGGACAGGGAAACAGTGATTACGTGGGGGGGCGGGTCACATCAAATCGCCGAGTGGAGCTCCGAGAGCCGCCACTCCGGAGCGGGCCTTTCCTCCTCCAGGAAGCCCCAGCTGCTCCGGAAGGTCAGTCGTTGTGTTTCCCTAGACGGGTCTGCTCAGGGAAGTCACTCCCTCGGGTTCGGTATGTTCCGTCGGGTGAGTCCGTGCTCCTGGCCTAGCCTGGGAAACCCCTGCAGTGCAAGAGGCGCAGTCAGTGTCTGGCAGCCACGGGAACCGTGCCCATGGGCTTGAGGTGCATGGGGTTAATTTAAAGGGCACACACAGTGTCTGTCTTTCGTTTCGTGCAGCTGCTGCGATTGGCTGATAAACATCTGCCGGAGGAAGAGAGAGCCGAAAGCGCGCACCGTGTGGCTCGGGTGCCCCGAGAAGTGTGAAGAGAAACACCCCAGAAACGCCATCAAAAATCAGAAATACAGCATCTTCACCTTCCTACCTGGGGTGAGACTCCTGAGTCCCTGACGGCGGCTGTCCGCCAGGGCGTGCCAGCTTCCTTCGCTTCCCTTGTTTGTGTTTCATTCTTGGTTTTTTCCCTTATTAACTGTGCCATCTTTTTCTTTCCAACCATGTTTAAATTATTGTTAAATAATTCATATGCATTTTAATAGACATACCATAGAATTCAACTGAAGGAAATTTACATTTTGATTATTGCTTTCACTTCTAGATAAACATTATATATATTTTTCAGTATCTCAGGTCATTTTTTTTTTAAGACATAGCCTATTTTTTTTTCAATTTTATTTATTTATCTTTAGAAGGGAAGGGAAGAAGAGAGGGAGAGAAATATCAATGTATGGTTGCTTCTCATGCATCCCCTGCTGGGAACTGGCCTGCAACCCAGGCATGTGCCCTGATGGGGAATCAAACTGTAATCTTTTGGTTCGCAGGCCCGTGCTCAATCCACTGAGCTACACGAGCCAGTGCTAAACATTATATTTATATTATTGTAGAATCGATCAAGTAAAGCTAAGTAAAATGATCAGGAAGTAAGTGTAAGTTTCGTGTAGCTGGAAGTTTGTTCGGAGGGACAGTGGAATGCAGCGTTGAGAGCCCAGGAGCTTCACAATTACAGTAACACAGTTCCTTCAAACGCGTGACTCGGTAACAAAATGTTTATCAGCATTTATGACCGTCTTGTCTTTTTCACATTATAAATTCTGCGCCTTGCTGTATTGTTGCAACACTAGTTCTCTTTGAATAGGTATTATCCTAATTTTAAATTAGTATAAATATTTTATTATGTTTTTATTAAATTACAATATTGAGTTAATGTGTGTTTGCAGTACTAAGTAGTTGTACAGTTTTTGGTTTTGGTGCATCATTCCCTGTGTAGTGACAGATTTATTTATCTTTCTAAAGGTGAAGGGAAGCTGGTTCTGATTATGTTTCCATGTCAGAGTTTCTGACACGTCCTAGGTGTTTGCTCTGGTGCAGTTTTGCCAAAAACTCTCCGTTGTGCGACACGAGGGTTGCTTTGTCCTTCGAGTGTCCTTTATGTTGTCGTGCTGACTTACATGGGCATTGATTGCCCCCACCTGTCCGTTCAGTAGTCGGCAAGTGTGTGATAAGTACCGTGGTCCTTTATTAAAACACCCAAAACTGATGTTTCCAGCTCGAAGACGGACCTTCTGTCAGGACAGTGACGTGCGAAGTGTCTTTCAGACAGAGGGACGCTCTCACCTGCAGTGAACTGTTGTGTCTGGGTTTGCTTTTAAATACTCGTGAGTTGACTAAGCCCAGCGGTTTCCTAAAGGCCCCCCATCCCTTCAGTGGACAGGAAAGGATCGATGACAGAGGGTTCCAAGTCGGCGGTGCCGCTTCCCGCCACCCCCACAGCCCGGCGTGGCCACCCGGATGGCTGCCCTGAGCACCTGTGGGTGGTCTGCACACTGCTACTGTGTGAGTGATTCCTTCTTAGGTTGTCTCTTAGATTAGTCTTTTCATCTAAAATGTAGTATTTTAGAAACATTTGGTAATTGCACAGTAGGAATTCTATTCCGTTTTTAGTGTGAATGGCAATTTCTGAATTGCTAATAGGTATAATTTATGCTAACTGAGATTTTAAAGAAATCACTGAGGAGAAAGAGGGCTCTCTGTCCTGCTGGGATTAATTTATGAAATGATTCCAAACATTTCCAATGGCAGTTGAACACGATGACGAACGTAAACGTGCTATCAGCGTGACTGATTTTTGGTTGCTCACACGGCTGTGTGGTGACGCAGACACGCTCGCGCCATGAGAGCCACGGCTCCTGACTCTGCGTCCACAGCAGGCGCTCAGCCCAGGGCCCTGCCTGTGAAGCCCCAGGCCGTCCAGGCTGCACGATGACGTGTCCAGGGAGGTCTGGGTTTGCAGGCTGCAAGTTTGTAGTAAGTTGCATTGGGATGTGCGGCGTGGACTGTCCTCATCTATAAACATGAGTTCTGTTCCGTTTGAATTTCAGTTTAACTCTGTTAATTTGAAAATTTGTAAATAGACCTCTACTATGATACTAAATATTGTTTTTCTACCTTAAAAATAATTCTGTTTGAATTAAGCAAAACCAAAAAGTTACAAGATTTTTATTTCTAACATTTTATTAAATGATGATATTTATTTTGTATTTCAAGTTATTGTTGAAGACCAAGTATCAGGGGACTGTGAAGAATATGTAGGTGCTGTCTTCCTAAAAATTGGTCTGTAACTTACATATCTTTCCATTTGATCATTTCCTATACTTTGAGTGAAGCAAATGCTTTGAGGAGAGTAAGGCAGTTCAGCAGGAACACCACACCTGTGTGTGTGTCGCTTGTGCACTCGGTCTTTGTGAAGCTACCCAGATGTCCCCAGTCAGAAACGTGGCTGTCACATTTTCTTTTTACCATTTCATAAGTTCAAGGATAGCATGACTTTTCCATCACGGTGTTTTCTGCGCTGGTCTCGAGACGCACATTTGTGTGTGTGTCCTCGCCTACGGCTCAGCCTGGGGGAGGCCGGGCCACCTGCCTGGCTGTGCGTGTGACGGTGCACAGGACAGAAGAGGGTCGGTGCGGGGCTGCACAGGAGAGTCATGGGCTTTTCAAGGCCACTTTAAACATCGCTGAGTGTTCTGATGGTCTTCTTACCAGTTTTGTTTTAAATGTAGGTTGGGATAATAGGATCTTTATATGTGATTCACTCTTTGGAAAGCTAATGTCAAATTGTTCTGTGGATTCAGACTTAAGGCACATTTCCTGTTTCATGGAAATGCAGTTTTATTATGTGTTGTGCTGACTTAACTATTGAACGAGATATTAAAGATTTTTCTTGGAGAGACTGTTAACTTTTTCTTTTCCTCTTCAGGTTTTGTATGAACAATTCAAGTTCTTCTTGAACCTCTACTTTCTGGTTGTCTCCTGCTCCCAGTTTGTGCCGGCGCTGAAAATAGGCTACCTCTACACCTACTGGGCGCCTCTGGTAAGAGGGGGTTTTGAAATTAAGTTCATTATTAAATGTTTAGGATATGGGGCTTTTTAAAGGTTTTATTTATTTATTTTTAGACAGAGGGTAAGAGAAGGAGAAAGTGAGGGAGAGAAACCTCAATATGCGGTTGCTTCTCATCCCTCCCGGGACCCAGTCTGCAGCCCAGGCCTGTGTCCTGGCTGAGAATCGAACCGGCAGCCCTTCAGTTCCCAGGCCCACTCAATCCACTGAGGCACACCAGCCAGGGCCAGGATATTCTTTTAAGAGTTGAAGTAGATAGCCTTGGCTGGTATAGCTCAGTGGATTGAGCACAGGCCTGCAAACCAGACAGCCACAGTTCGATTCCCAGTCAGGGCACATGCCTGGGTTGTAGGCCAGTTCCCAGCAGGGGACGCATGAGAGGCAACCATACATTGATATTTCCCTCTCTCTTTCCCTTCCCCTCTGAAGATAAATGAATAAAATCCTTAAAAAAAGGAGTTGAACTGGATAATAGATAAATTAACCACATTTTAGAAAACCTGATATTGTCGCTGTGTGTCGTTGACCCTTGGTTTAAAAACGCCATGGAGTTCTACACAGAGAGCCTTGGAGGCCCCCAGCTGTGCACTCAGCTTGGCCCGGACAGTGGGGGCAGGGGAAGGGGTTCCAGAGCACTGCTGCTGGCCGTGGGCAGGGCACTCTCCTGGGACAGCAGGCCCGCCCCCAGCCCCGCTCCTCTCCTGGCTGTCTCCTGGGCCCACTGAGCTGTTGGGGACAACGTGTGGGGTCCGCTCACTGGCTCTTGAAGTCCTGAGAGAAGGCAGTTTTGCCTTTGGCTGACGTGTTGGTCCTCACGCATCTCGATGCAGCCCAGACGGCTCCTGCTTGACAGCCCAGGGTACATGAGTGTTTGAAAGGCAGAGGGTGCTTCCTGACGTTCTCGTCCGAAACATGCTGTCTCGATAGTTAATGCTGTTTGCTGACAGTTTTTATTACTTTTTAGTTTATGGGGACTATTATCTGTCTTCTTTCTTCCTCGCACCTGGAAGAATGTACTATGTCCTCTCACCTGTTCCTTTGGGGCAGATTAGCAGTGCTGTTCAGAAGGGCCCACCAGGTGAGAGAGAGCACAGCTTCAGGGGAGGGGCTGTGCAGAAGGTGCAGGGGTGGGGGCAGGTTTCCCCGAGGCGCTGGCTGCCTTTGGAGCAAGAGTCTGAGCAGGGTGCAGGGTGTACTGGGCTGGTGACGGGTGGCTGCGGCTGGCACCCCATGCAGCGCTCGGGTCAGTGAACAGAAGGGTGCGCATCAGTGAGGACCAGACACAGCTGCCGGCGGCCAGCTGCAAGTGGCCAGCTGGCACAGAAAAAACTGGAATGGGAAGTGATCGTCCTTTCCGTGGAAGCCGTCAGGTTTCATTCAGAGCAGCCTGGCTCCCGGCGGTGGGGACAGGCTCTGTGCATTGTGGGTGGGGCCGGCCTCCTCACACGTGTGTGCGTGTGTGCAACGCAGCCTCTGAGAAAGGAGGACGTCAGCCACGTGGCAGCAGTGTGACAGTTCGTGACAGGTGGCGGGCACGTGGAAGCTGTATTCGGGCTTTCACCTGAAGAAACGAGAGAAAGCACGGCCCCGGCCACGCCCTCTAGGGCGGCTGCGTGGGGCTGCACTCGTGAGGGAGGCGGTGGGCACGCGTGGCGGTGGGGACACGTGTGGTCTCTGGAGCTGCCTGGGTCCTGCAGTGCTTCCGCCCCGTTGGAGTGTGGTGCGGGGTCGGCCTTCGCTCGCCTGATGCTCGCACGCCTGCGCGTTCCTGGTCTGGTGTCGGGAAGTTCACTGAGGGCTGTGTTTTCTCTGGGCCACTGAATACTTTTCTGACGATGAGCTGAAAGTACATTTATGACGTGAACTTTAAAATTTTCTTGGGAAAGTAAGAATTATAAATGTGTTACTGTCTTACATTCCTTCTGTAATGTTTCGCTGTTACTTGTTGTGGTTTTCTTTGTTTCCATTCGTTTTCTGTTTCAGAGATAACGTGCGCTTGGCCCCAGAACAACGTGGGGTTTGGTCCCCACACGCTCAGAAGTCTGCATGTGACTCCTGACTCCCCCCGGAACTTCGGTGCCCCCGCAGGCTCCAAAGCGCACGGTGCTCAGGTCCCCCCAACAGTGGTGTAGGTGCGGCGTGCAGTTGGCCCCCCGCACCCCCAGTTCTCAGCCCCAGACCAGAGCCCGCGCAGGTGTTGACGGGAAAGCCTGCTGAGCGGATCCCCACGGCCGCCCCGTGCTGTTTAAGGGTCCATTGCACAGTGAGGGGAAGAGGGCAGGACCGACACAGTACAGGGTGTTTTCTTACTTCTCTGTTAGCGGCCAGGCTCTCCCAAATACCATGTTTCATTTCGTTTACAGGGGTTTGTCTTGGCTGTCACTATCACGAGGGAAGCCGTCGACGAGTTCCGGCGCTTTCGGCGAGACAGGGAAGTGAACTCACAGCAGTACTGCAAGCTCACTGTGAGAGGTGAGCGAGGCGCGCTCGGTCCGCTTTGCCGCTGGTGTGGCGTGAGCGCCGTGTCAGAACTAACACAGAGGGAAGGATGTGTGTCCTCGTTGGGGGTGGCTGTGCGGTTGCGTGTGCTATCTAGTTAGTTTCTCACGTAATGCAGCGATACACTTGCAGGGTGGATTTTCATTCATTTTCTCGATTCACTGATGTGCACGTGTGACTGCAGGTACACACGCTGCATGCATACATGCGTGCACGTGGATCCATAACCGCCTGACACGCTCTGTCCCATCTGTGTACTTAGACAGGTGTGAACCCCCGGTGTGTGCACGTTCTCCGTGAGGTGTGATGTCACTGCATAGATCTCTCTTCATGATGTATTTGAAGCGCAGTCGCGAGGGTCCAACAGCCGGGTCCACAGCTGTGCTGGAGGGATGGACTCGGAGCCACTGGAGTGCCGTCAGATGCCAGCGGTGACTGGCGTGTGCCCGCTGCTTCTTGCCCCTCACTCGGGGCTTCACATTTGCTTAATCTGTGCTTAACAGAGCTCGTTGCTGTGGTTCTGGTCCCAGCAGAGTCCGGGACCTGCTTTAGGAAGAAAGTGGGTGGAGCTCTTACAAACAGGCGTTGACATAGGAGGGAACAGCAGTGCTGGCCGGACCGCGAGGGGGTGGGGGCGGGGCCTCGGGCCCCAGGGTCTGTCTAAGATGAGGGTGTGCAGACCACGCTCCATGTCTTCCGTTTGCAGAAGACGTCTGCACAGTGGGTGACATATTTGAAGTAATCCCATCCAGAGCAGTTCTTTTGATACTTTATTGGGATGTGTTTCGTGTATCCATACAGTTTGTGGTTTGGGTACATTCACAGAGTCAGGAAGCCATCACCACCACGACTTAGAACATATTCCACACTCTGGAGGGGGCCAGTGGCCACACCGACAGGCAGCCCACTGCCCTCCCTCCCAACCGAACTCCCGCCCCTGGCAGCCGCCGGCCTGGAGCTGTCTCTGTGCTGTGCCCTCCAGCACACACTGTGCCCGTGGGCCCGCAACACTCGGCCTTCCCTCACCGGCTTCCCTCACCGGGCGGGGTCTTTGCAGGGCTGACCCACGTGGTAGCGGTGCCAGCACTTCCTGTCGCTGCCGGATACATTCCCCGTGCCACAGGCTGCACGTCGTTGGCCATTCCTCTGAGACGGACCTGTGGGCTGTTCCCACTCGTAGGCCACTGCACCCAGTGCTGGTGTGACATTCCTGCACAGATTTCTGTGACCACTGATTTCATTTACTTTCATACAGTCCTAGGAGTGCAATTGCTAGATTACGTCGTAACTCTGGTTCTGATGAGCTGCCCAGCAGTTCCCTTCGTTGGCCGCGCCGTGTGCTCACGGGTTTCCCATGCCCTCCAGCACTTGCTGCTGCCTGTCTTCTGGGTGGTAGCCGTCCGAGTGGGTGTGCTGTGGGCTCCCGCCGTGGTCTCGGTTTGAGTCTTTCTGACGATTAACGAGGGTGAGCACTTCTTAACGTGCACAGTGGCCGGTTGTAGATTTTCTTTAGAGAAATGTTTGTTCAGATCTTCGCCTCCTTTTTAACTGGGTCATGTGTTTTTTAATTGTTGAGTTTTGCAAGTTCTTTATGTATTCTATATTTAAATCTCTTGCCGGATATAAGATTTGGAAATATTTTGTCTCCTGCTGTGGGTTGTAGCTTATTTGTCGTAGTGGCACACTAAAGTTTTTAATTTTAACAAAGTTTAGCTCGCCTTTTTTTCCTTTGGTTGCTTGTGCTTTTGGAGTTGTATCTAAGAACTAATTTGCCAACCCAAAATTATAAAAATTTTCTTCTGTATCTTCTTTTAAGAGCTGTATAGTTTAAATTCCTACATTGACGTCTATTATATATCTTAATCTTCTATTTGGCCTGTGGTGAGTCCACATTCTTTTGCATGTGACTGGTAAGTTGTCCTGGTACCATTTGCTGAAAAGATCACCCTGGATTGGACCGGCAGAATTAGTTACGAGAAACGTTGGCGCTCCAGGTGGCGGCATGGCAGAGGCACGGTGCGCCATGGAAAAGGGCTGGTTTGGGGAAGGAGGATCCCCAGAACGGCCAGGCAAGGGAGGTGTGACTTTGGTTGTGGTTTTCAGACCATCGTGTAGACTCTGGCTCATGGTAACAAGTGTGCTGGTTGTGGGGCCGGGAAGGGCAGAGACCTGTCTCCGTGGTCAGCGGCATCATTCAGAAACGAACTGGGAGGTGACTCGGCGGGCACGGCAGGTGCGAGGCTCTGCTGCCTCTGAATAGCAGCCAGTCGGCAGACGCTGAGGGAAGGGGCTCCTCAAACCCTGGAGACAGAGGTGTGCAGCGCCCATGGGGTCATTGAATCCAGGAACAGGCGACCTGGAGGGAGTCAGAAGGCCTCTGCCTGCGGTGCTCGCCCTGGCTCTGCCCCCCCACGGTGCCCATGTTCCCAGTCCGGGGCTCCGCGCCTGGCTGTGCCCCGAAGGGGGCAAAGCCGCACTTACTCATGAGGCTCGTGTCTGTCTGTCCAACCCATCTGAAGGCTACTCGAGGGACTGGTGCAAGGCACTGGTCTTTTTTTTAACTGCTTGGAGGTCACACGAGGCAGAAAAGCTAAAGAGCAGTAGGCATTTCACAAGCCTAGGTGAGCCTCTGACACCTGGAGCAAAAGAAGCAGTTGAGACAGAGAGCAGTGTCAAAGGCCAGGCAGAACAGTTGGTGAAAGAAGCTCTTTGGGCAGTTGGGGCGTTCGCCAGTGCCCACACTTACACGGGAATTTGGAAACAGCTTTTGAGGCTGGAGCCGGATGCCTGCTCAGAAAAGACCTGAGAAGGGCCTTTGCCTCCGGCCAGTCCCTGGGCCCCGTGCAAGCAGAGGTGCAGGCAGAGGTGCCGGCTGGGGCCCCCTGCGGACAGCGGGCGGGGGACTGGTGCCCCCGGCACAGAGCCCTCCCTTGCTTCCTCTCCCCTCCTTACTTCTTTTCCTCTTCCTCCTTTTCTCCCCCCACTTCTCTTACGTGCAAGGAAATCTCATTCAGAGAGCACACACGTAGCAAAATGAGTCCAGAGGAGTCCCTGAGCACACGGCTGCGGCCTGTGCCAAGAGACATAGGGTGGCCCCTTCATGGGAAACGTGCTGGGGACTTACCAGGCCCGACCCGATCGGCCACCTTGAACGCGCTCGAGGAGCTGAAGGAAATGAGTGCTGAACGGTGCCAGGAGAGTAAGATGGGATCAAGTACAGAACGCCAATAAGTATAGAAATCGTTGGAAAAAAGCACCAGAGAAGTCTGGAAATGGAAAGTACAATAAATTGAAAGAAAGAAAATCACCAGTGAGCTTCAGTAGCAGATCTGAACAGGCAGAAGAAACTTTCAGTGAACTTGAGCCTGGGTCCTGTGAGATACCTCATCTGAGGAGCAGAAGGAAGAATTAGAAAAATGAATTCAGGGTCCGGCACAAATAAGGCCCCTGTCTTACTACATAAAAGTCTTTTATTACAAAGTCACAACCATGTGGTTCTGTAATACAACAATATGACATTTTGGGTGAAATGTTTGAAGTGCCGTCCATGTGGTTAGAGACATTCACACACCTGCCTGTCCACACCCAGTGGCGTGACTTCTGCTGGACCCTGCAGATCTGAGCAGACTTGTGGGGTGGCCGCAAGTGCATGGGTGCACACCAGCTGGGGTCCCAGGAGCAGGGGACACTTGGAGGAATAATGGCCATGAGCACCCACGCTTGACAGATACCAGGCCTCCACAGATTCAGGACGTTTGGTGACCCCCAAAGAGGCAGGTGTGTAGTGAGCTGCCCTGGGGCCCCCTGAGGTCAGCTGAGGTGGAAACCCATGGCCGGGAGAGCGCTGAGAGCAGCCACTCGTCACATGTGAGGGGTCTGCAGTGAGAAGGTAAGTTCGTCTCGGCCGGTGCGGCTCAGTGGATGGAGCACCAGCCTGCAAACCAAGGGGTCGCCAGTTCAGTTCTAGGTCAGGGCACTTGCCTGGGTTGCTGGTTCAGTCCCTCACAGAAACAAAAGGCAACCAATCAATATTTCTCTCTCATATCCATGTTTCTCTCCTTTTCTTTCTCCCTCCCTTCCCCTTTCTCTAAAAAATAAATATTTCTTAAAAAAATGTATTGAGCCCTGGCTGGTGTGGCTCAGTGGATTGAGTACCCGCCTGTGAACCAAAGGGTCCTTGGTTCAGTTCCCAGTCAGGACACCTGCCTGAGTTGCGGACCGGGTCCCCAGTAGGGGGCGCATGAGAGGCAACCACACATTGATGTTTCTCTCCTGCTCTTCCTCCCTCCCTTACCCTTTCTCTAAATATAAGTAAATAAACTATTTTCTAAAAGGATAAGAGATCAGCAGGAGAATGCCAGTAGTATTTAAAAATAGTAAAAGGAAAAAACGACCAGTCAAGAATTCTGCAGCCAGTTAAACTGTGTTCAAGCCCTGGCCCGTGCGGTGTTGTCATGTGATTGAAGGGCTGTGAGTGCAGTTCCTGGTCGGGGCACACACACGGTCTGGCTGCACACCACTCAGGTTCGGACGCCTGTGGGAGACTCCTCGTCAGTGTCTCTCCCTTCCTCTCTCTCTAAAGGCAGTGAAAAAACGTCCTTGGATGAGGAGAAGGCAGTGAAGTGAGGGGGAAATTAAGGCGTCCTCAGACGAACTTAGAATTGGAGACAAGGATGCAAGTAAACACACAGCGTGTTCACTGCAGCGTGTTTACAGCCACCCGAGGCGGTAATGACCCCGCGTCCGCCCACGGATGACCGGCTGAACAAAAGTGCGGTCTGTTCGTGCACCAGCGTAGAGTTACGCCGAGTGCCCTGCCACTTGGTGGGAGTGAGACGGGGTAATGCGGGCGGACCTCGAGAACACTGCTGTGCCGTGTGAGAGGCAGGCGCACCGGGCCACACACCGTGTGGTCACACTCACGGACGCGCGCCCGGTCGGTGAAGCGGTGGGGAGAGACTGTGGGTTGTGGC